AAAAGGGTCCTTAAAGTGATATTGCTGAATGAGAAGGAATCCAAAGACTCTGTTTTCTCAATCTGCAAAGTATAGTCAAAGCTTTAAAAGAATTGTTTCTATTTCATAGTTTACACCCTAAACAGAGGGGAGTCCCTGACTGAACTTGCAGTGAAAGTACCCAGATGATTTGCTATATGTCCTCTATGGCAAAGCTGTTTTGCATATTCTTAGCACGCTGTCAGCCATACTGAACGAGGAAAAGATCAAAGCCACCTCACAGAATTCTTAAGCACTGTGTAAGAAAACAGGCCAAATACAAAATCTTACATTTTGGGGGAGATACAATATTTCACCATTTTCATTATTTTCTACTGTCAACAACAACAAAAGAGGAGCAATTAATGTATTCTATTCATTCTTTTCACCAGATAGTGAGATGTTAATACATGGAAGTGTATTAGTGATTTGGTCATCACAGTAGATTTGCAATATTCATAAGAGCACAGCTGAAGACTCTGGACTTTGCAACAAAATGTGTTTTTACAAGCAGTAGCTTTCAAAATTATGTATAGTCTTCATTTAAGCTTTCCTGCTAAAAAAATCTGTGCAAACTGTGACTATACTGTAATTGAACACCATTATCGGTTCTTCAATACAAATAATTCTCCTGTTATTTACCAATAATCTGACATAGCTCCTTGTCATGCTCTGGATTTGTAGGATACCTTGACAAGAAAAAAGTGTTTCAGTAATACGTTTCATATTCCAAACAGAATAATTTAATCATCTCTAATGTGCACATCTGCAGAAAAGCAGTTTTAAAAGTATAGATGTACAAAACAAGGAAAAGAGATCAAGGGTTATAGAGGGGGAAAAAAAAAAGATAAATGAATCGGAGTGAGAAAATAAAATGAGAAGGAAAAAAAGTGGGATTACTCTATGAATTATTGCCTACAGAAGCAAAACTCTGTACCAGAGAACTGACCTAAATCACTCCCGCACCACGTGTCACTAGTTGGGCAATCTTTCACAGCAGCATTCAAAAAAGTATTATCCTATATTTTTTCATGTTAATATCATATCAGATTCAGAAATGAGAGCCAGCTATTTACCAGTTAATAGATAACATCACTATTTGTATAATGTATCAATTAATAGAAGTCCTATAGTCCTATTCTGCTGAATAATATAAAATGTAGATTGTTTTTCAGAAATGATAGCAGTGCCAAAAACTCACAAAAGATGAAACAACGTGTAAGACTGCACATGCTTGTGAAAAAAAATATATTGTACATAAATCCCAGGAGCCTCTATAGAGTTACAGGTACCTGGAAATGTTTAGTGTTTGGGAAGCATTAAAAGAGGAAAAAAAGAATATTTATATTAAGTCAAGATAACAGCCCTTAAATTGCAGCAGTGAAAAAATATGGAAACATAGCACACCCATATTTGTTCACAAATCATTCAAAAACTGTTATTGATCTGCCATGTAAATTTTGAGGGAGGGAGTCTGTCTCTAAGAAATACTAGGGAAAAATCCCATTCAGTTCAATAGGATTCACTAACGTTTATAATTTCTGGTTTAGACTCTGCAATTATAAAGTAACAGCTATTTCCCTGTCTGAAGGGGAAAAAAATATTTTTTATTTTTATTTCTTTTTAGCATTTCTCCTTAGGCAATTTTTAAGGATTAGCTCATCAATTTTGTATATCATGTACAAGCAATCAACTTACAGTTCTTTTTACAGAACGACTAGTGCCAAGAAATGCTGCACATTTTTGTTATTTGAACCAACATTGTTCACCTCAGTCCTATTTTTAAATTAATTCCTCAGTCTATGAAAACTAATACTGAAACCATAGTAGCCATTTCTGTTCATAACATAAGTTTTCCCCCTTTCTCCTGATGTCAGTCTCAACATTGACCTAAATGTACCTGCAGCTTAGAAGGACCATTTATTCGCTGCCTGACAGACAATTTTGTTTTGTAAACTTGCAGGTCAGAAGAACACAATTAAATGATTTAAGGATGTACAAACCCAACATCTCAGCAATGCTATTTTCCGATTGACATGAGACAGAATTTCTGATGGTGTAAGGTTTTATAAAGATACGAATTTTCTAACTGAGCACAAAATAGTTTGACTTGAGTGAGTTTCATAAAAATGTCATGAAGTGAGCAGTCTCCATAATATTTTTAATGAGACACAAGCTTAGCTGTGACCTGACATCTGATTAACATTTTGAAATTTTAAAAAAAGTTTGTATATCAAACAAGGAAGACCACAAAATGCCACCTCTTCTGCAACACAGGATGTTAGCTAAAGGTGAAGACATGACAAAGTGTAGAACAAATTGCTACCAAAATTTCAGCTCTGACCAGCCAACGGTTGGTCATTTGACCTGCAGCGAGCAGAAGACAGGTTTCAGGCTGTATTCAAGGAAGATGGGAAGAGGAAGTACAATATTTTATTCACTGGGTTTGTAATTCACTGTAGGAAATAAGGTGCTCGAATTCAAATTTTCTTTTTCCTCTCTCAAGCAAAACACCAGTTTTTGTTTATATTTGGTTTTACATTTTCTTTAAACCCATCTCTCCAAATTCAAACCAGATAGATTCATCCTGACCTTAATTCTGTTACTAGTCTAGCTATAATACATAGTATTTCAGTCCCAACAGTGAGATCATATTAAGATGACTAATTTCTAAGCAACAGAAATGGGAAGATCTGTAAAAAAGTTCTCAAACATAAAACCCAGGTTTACTTCTATCAATGTAAAATCAGAATTGATATTCATCCAGCTCTCAGTAGACCCAAAAAGAGAGGCACTGAACTATTATAGTGTTCAGCAAATTAAGACTCAATTCTGGATGCCGTTGCTTTGAAATGAATTGTGTGTGTTCCACTAAAATCTATTATACTGTCTAATAAGCAAGCATCTTCTAAGGACTGCTTAGAGCAATAATTCTTCATAATCTAAAAAGTAAAACACAGAAATTGCTCAGAAAACGTTATCTGGTTCTTGAAAAGCTACAGCGAGTGCTGATAAGAAAGTATTGTAGTACTTACCGTACTGAAAGCTCACAAAAATCTGTTCAGTACACAAGCACCAAAAGGGAGATGGAACTAATCATGACAGATCATTTCTAATAACAAAAAGGCTATAAACAAACTGTAAAGAAAAATAATTTATGAGTATTTGGTACCAAGGATATTTTGTACAGAGGATATGCTGCTTCTGTATGAGACCATGAAGAACCCATAACTGCTAATTCAATTCAGTAGATATATTTCTCCTGTTTACAATCCTCTAATTGGAAGCTTATTACTTACTCTGTATTTGCAGGGTCTCTTTTGATCCAAACTTGCTTAAAAATGGAACCTTGAAATAAATTTAATTTATTTTCATGACATCTCATTTTGTCCAAAAGAGATTAAAAAAACCAAAATACCTATTGTGTTGTGGCTTTATTACTGATTTTTTTCTTATATGTTAATAATTCCCTTTTAGAGGAGTTTTCTAATTTTATTAAGGAAGTTTATAAATAAGCAATATTGCTTTGCCTAAGGAAAAAGGAATTTGCCAGCAGCAGGCAAACTCATTACATTTCTTCTCAAAAAGCCGCTTGTTTTATAACTTGGAAATCTTTTTCTAATTGGTACTCCATAATAATCAAAATATAGTGTCCTGTGACAAACCGAAAATATGCTACTGAGATTTTTCATCATCTTATACATTTTGGCAAGTGAAAATATTTGTTTTTATAACTGAATTATTTCCTTTTTTTTGTTGTTTTTTTAATTTGAGGAAGCTATCTTTACGCCTTGGTAATTGCAAGTGTTTCCTTTACTGCATTGGAAAATCTGTTTGGATTTAAGTATTGTTTAGATTAAAAATTTGCCCTGAGAAAACTGTGCTTTTTAATAGTAATGCTGTACTTTTGTCTTGTGAAGTTATTAATTAAAAAAAAATCTATTAGCAGATGACACATAAATAACTACAGTTCACTACTTTTCTCTGTAGACTATAAAACTATTGTGGGATACTATGTTAATGTCTTTTGGGAAACTATTAACAACTACAAATTCTACCTACACAGTTTGTTGTTTAGCTGTGTTTCTATTTGCATAAAGCCAGTCCTCTGGCTCGCAAAACCTGTTAGGAAGGGAAAGAAAAAACAACCCAAAACTCAAATCTACCATACTTACTATCAATCATTTTGTTGACACCATTCAGGAATTCCATAGACTCAAAATAAAATCACAGTCCTTTTTCTCCTTTCAGAATATAGCCTCTTAATCCAAATAATATCAGAGAAGTTAAAATTTAGTCCATTCATCTGGCAAATGTTTCCCTCTGTTTCATAAACATGCATATCACAGAGAAAAATTGTTCAATTTAAGGCTTCTTACATGATTAGAGTGTAAAAAATCATCATAGAAATATGGTTATTCTCAGACTTAATAATGCCCTTATTGTAATCTATTACATTTCCATAAACCAAAGATTTAGCAAAACCAATTGTGTTATAAGCAGCCAGGAAGTACAGTTAATTGTCTAGGAGGATTAGAAAATAGAAATTCTTGTACTATAGAGAATTATGTTCCAACAGTCTCACCACAAGTTGGAGGTAAGATGTCAGGAAAACTAGAAAGAGGACATGGGGGAAAATATGTGACAGCTTATCAGAAATGCTGGATCAAAAATTCTATGGCTACTGTGAGTAAAATAGCCCATTTAGAATAATACAGTACTACAGGTACCATTTCCTCTATGTAAGTTTACAACCTGTAGAATGCTTCCTTTTTTAATATTCTAGTTAAAAGTTATATCCTATGGGAAGGACAAAAAATACACACTAGAGTATATGATGACTTTTTACACAATGATAATTAATCATTACATTTCATTAATAAATTATCAAGTGCTTGCAAGCTGTCCGCAATCTTTTTCATCTAGCTTGCATATTTTATAATGGTGGAATAACATTTTAAAAAGTTTGAATAGGCACTTACTGGAATTACAGTTAATCCTGATACAGTCTAGATGGGGAAGAATAGATGAAAAATGAAAATTTATCCTTCAAAGTAATAGCTGCAGACATCCAATAAAATCACAGTCCACCCTTCCGGGGACAGACACATGCAAATATGGCCACTCCATATCATCAGTCTTTACATACGGTTATAACCCAGATATACTGCGATAAATCTTTATAAATAGAAACGACAAATAGGGTAAAAATGGCCAATTTCAAACAAAGCTACATGGTGACAAATCTAAGTGAAAAAACAGGATTAAATGTCAAAGATGCTTAACTGAGGCAGGCTGCAACTTTCTCCCCATCTGTGAAAGAACAGGTAATTTCTCTCAATACAATTAGAAAGTGCTCCGTCACAATGGGTCATAGAGCAAGCCAGGCCACAATCAGACATCTTGGACAACTTATGTATAGTATACCTCAAAGGCTGATCTTCAGAAACTAAGTAGTAAAAGACAAAGCTCATTCCCCAGGCATATAAATAGGGGTTTGTGGGTTTACGTTTTCTTAATGTCTAGTACTCCAGAAAAGAATAGTGACTACATTAAAGCTACATTAATATAGAGAAAATAATCACATCCTTATAAACACTGATAACTAGAGAATCTATTTTTAGATTATTTCCTTGCCTTTTTAAAAAAACCCCACCAACCCCCCCCCCCCCCAAAAAACAACAACAAAAAAAACCACCCCAAAAATCCCCTAACATGAGGGCTGTTGGGGGAAGAAGCAATATTGCTAGGGCGTGGATTTATTTTCTTTCTTGATCTACAGAAGTAGGCAAAAATTGACAGAAGGTGGTGGTTTGTATATAAAGAGAATCACCTGGTCTGCGGCTGGGCTACCTGCATTTATTACTGCCAAAGGACCTACAGCACGCTGCTTGGTTTGTAGGGCTACTCCTGGTCTATACCTTTGAGGAACATATATACCATCAAACCTAGATTTTGTTTCCATATAGCTGAGTTTGTCATGTGTCGTCAACCGCATCAGAAAAGTGGTTGCAAACAGCCAGGGACCAGGACCTGCACATCCCCTTTTACAGAAAGCGCCGCCGCGGGGGGAGGCTCCGCGCCGCCTGCAGGAGCCCCGGCTCGACGCTAGAGGGGACTGTAAGGAAGAGCAAAGGAGGAGACCCCTCGCTTCTCCTCCTCCCTTCCGAAATCTAAACACCAGGGCAGTGTTGCAGTCAGCAACGCTTTTATCAAGGGGAGGGTTAAGGTGATTGTTTTCTTCCTCCCCTCCCCCCGCCCCCCCCCG